TCTAACCAGTTGTACGAATTCCTGTTCTAAAGTGACCTCCCCATTTTTAATCCTTTTGTACCAAGCTCTCTTTTTACCTATAAGGTTCTTCAAATTCTTTGTTATCCACTTTGGGTCATTAGTATTCGATCTATTCAATTTGTATGGTATACTACGTTCCTGTGCTTTGTTTAGAATATTCTTAAATAAGTTATATATTGAATCCACATCGAAATCCCCATTTAAGTCACCTATCGCTGGGTTCATGTCTCGCTCCAAGACCGGCCCACACCCCATACCCAAGACTTTCCAATCAATTTGACCCAAAAAATTTCTTAGGCTATTAAAATCAGCTTTTCGAAAATCTGGCACTTTAACAGAATTTTCTCCTACTGGTCTATTCCATTCTATGCTAAATCTGATTTCTTTGTGATCACTGCTCCCTAGCTCACTCCCTATTTCGATGTCATTAATTTGCGTTTCCCTGTTAGTTAACACTAAATCTAAAATATTATTTTCCCGTGTTGGTTCCTTAATGTGTTGCGTAAGAAAGCAATCGTCAATTAATTCTAGAAAATCTTCTGCTTCACTATTCCCTGTTTTGTTCAACCAGTTTATTCCGCTAAAATTAAAGTCACCCATGACATAAATACTGTTAGATCTAGATGCTCTAGATATTTCATCCCATAGATGCTTTGCTTCCATTCTGTCTAAATTTGGTGGCCTATATATTACTCCTATTATAATATTATTAGCTTTTTCGTTTAATTCAATCCAAATAGTTTCTGTGTGTGGCTCTGTTTTGATTCCCTCTTTGAGACTACATTTCAAATTGTCCCTAACATATATGGCTACTCCACCTCCTCGTCTAATATATCTATCTGTGTGAAATAGTTTAAATCCATATATTTGATATTCAGCTAATAGTTCTCTATTTTCTACATTCATCCACGTTTCGGTAAGTGCAATAATATCTATTTTTTCTGTGCAGACAAGAGCATTTAATTCGTTAATTTTATTTCTTAGACTTCTACTGTTAGTGTAATATACCCTAAGTGAATTGTTATTTTGCGGACCTTCTCTTTCCCTGATCGTTTTGCCAATTCCTTTCTCCCACAAACACATACTTTTATTACCTCCTTCCTCCAAATCAATTCCCATACCTCTATCTACTAACAGTTTAAACCCAAACAAACACCTCTAACCACTTCTTCTAACGAGTTCGCAACAGCAACAACCCCAGCTCTCGATAGATGCACCCCATCACGAGCATACATTTCATTTCTTCCATAGAAGTGTTCCCAGTTGTCTATGAAAGATATTGCATTTGATTTGCAATATCTTTCCAGCCGGCAATTGACACCAAGTGCCCTCGATATCCATTCATTTCCCACTCCCTTTCTTGGAAGAATGCCACATATGATCGGGATTCCTCCCTTGCTCCTAACTAACTCTATGGCTGTTTTATACCTCTGAATCAGTTCCTCACTCCTAACTCGACCAACATCATTTCCTCCCACGCTAATGCAAATAATGGGATTGTTCCCATTACCAGCCATAATATCATTCATGTTGTTTATAATATCACCAATGCCAGCTCCGGGATAGCAAACCCTTAACCTGTTCCCCCTATCTCTAGCACAAAACGTTCTATCCAAATACCTTATCTGGGAATCTCCCACAACTAATGTTTGCTTAGGTACTTCCTTTACCCTCTGAGGGGCCTGCGCTTCCTTTCTCTTCGTTGCTTTCCCTTTTGCGCGATCCACAGTCTCTCCACAGCACTCGTCCTCCAAAACGTCAAATGAATTAGAGGTTGCTATGGCGTTTGAAGGCGGCTTTATCAAAGTCTTCTTAAGGCCCCTGTCTTTCACAACTCTCCAAGACGAGGTCCCTTTACTGCTGGTCTCCTCCTTCGTTACTTCTCGTTGTTCTTTAAGCTGACGCACCTCCTCCCGCAGAAAGTCCAACTCTGTCCTCAGGGCTCCCACTAGAGTCACCAGGTCCTTAACTACAACTTCCTGTCACTGCTAGTGAAACACCCATATAAATTTCTACTACTGTTTTTTTACAGGCTGTCTTTGCAAGCATATCAACAGTGTAAAGTGTTTGTAAGATTTGTTTCTATCATACCATTATCACACTTCCATACCATTTGATGTACTACACTACTAATTTCATTGTTTCTATGTTGCTCAAGCATTTTACACTCTAACACGTATGGTGATCTAGGGTGTGAGCTTGTGGCATATTTCGTCATTCTCATGCCTTATCTGTTGATTTATATGTTGTATGGATTTGTCACGAGCCCCCCCCCCCTTTTGAGAGGCCTAAAATAGAGGTGGGTGGAAATAGCCTAAGCTAATTGTATTCTTTTGGGATATATTTTATTATCTCCATAAACTTGAACTTGTATTGACCCTCCCCAGGATGCAATCCCACAACAAGCTGATTAACTCCCGGGTACCTATTTACTGTTAGGTGAACAGAGGCATCAGGTGATGGGGAAACGCGTCCAATCATTTCTGTTCAGCTTATGATTCGAACCCGGAATTTTCTGCATATTCTCTGGCATATTAATTCTGATGTGACAGTGGTTAATGAGCTGAAGCCAAGTAAAAAATTTATAATATTAGGTATTGTGGGAACCGACCTGTGAGATTTAAATTTATTTAATTTATATGAATTTATATTTACGTTAATTTATATACTTCGATAGCAATTGGTATGATGATAAGTGGACTGTATTTCTGCAATAATCTCACAAATCGATCCTCTACACATTAGGGGGGTTTATATTAAATTTATATATATGCAGCCAATCAAACTACAGTATTAACTACACATTGAAGAGGTTCCTTATCTTATTGTACAGCAGGCCTTAGTCCACCAGGTATAACCAGGATGTAGACACCAAATTATCCTCTTTGAGGTAGCTTCCATCACCCAGTAACTGGCACACAAAGCATGCTTCCTCGTCTTGACCTGTCAAAAGGGCGCTAGCTATGAAGCCAGAATCCTAATATATGACAGCTATATCAGAGAAAACACTGTACAAGGAACCATAAAGACCTAGGCTTAATTACCTTGTTTGAGTCGATCATTTGTGATCTAACCGGCCCACCCTATATCTACTGACATTAATGGCCATAAATGAAAGATAAACGGGTTTCGGAAAGACACTTCCCTTGAAATTGATGACAGCGTGTTGATGATGGCAGATCACTACTCTGATCTTCCATAACACTTCGCCCAAGTAAAATTAACAGGAGCCGAATTGCTCCCATGCCTCTGGTCTAAGTACAATAACAATGGCTGACCACTTCCCCCTCACTCACGCTACTGGTCTACATTGTCCAGATGACAGTAAGTGATAGAAGGGTCACATTTACTCTATTTTAATTCTGATAATTAAGTTAATTTATATGAGATGTTTTTATGATGGTAAAGTCCAAAGACTAATGTATTTAAGAATAATTCCCACCATAATAGGTGGTGAATTTATAATAGTATGTGGTAATGATATCCCGTTTTCTATAGACGGAAATTCCACTACAAGTTACATTTTCTATGGGTAACTTGTTTATACAACACAGCAATATTATCTGTCTGTATGATATTATTAAATGGTGTCGGATTTTCCGACATAGTATCATTGAAATACTCACGACACGTGAACACACACACTGACACATCAATATTATACACATACAATGGGTGGAACACAAATGTATACACTGAGAAGTATTTTACTTCTCGGTGAGTATACTACAGCCCACCCTCAGGCTAAAGTGATTCTAATAGAAGGTCTGCTGTACTCACCTACTTATACTCACCTATTTGTGCTTGCGGGGGTTGAGCCTTGTCTCTTTGGTCCCGCCTCTCAACTGGTGTACAGATTCCCGAGCCTATTGGGCTCTATCATATCTACATTTGAAACTGTGTATGGAGTCTGCCTCCACCACCTCACTTCCTAGTGCATTCCATTTATTAACTACTCTGACACTGAAAAAAATCTTTCTAATGTCTCTGTGGCTCATTTGGGTACTAAGTTTCCACCTGTGTCCCCTTGTTTGTGTTCCACCCGTGCTGAAGAGTTTGTCTTTGTCCACCCTGTCAATTCCCCTGAGAATTTTATAGGTGGTTATCATGTCTCCCCTTATTCTTCTGTTTTCCAGGGACGTGAGGTTCAGCTCCTTCAGGCTTTCCTCGTATCTCATACCTCTCAGTTCCTGGACAAGTCTGTAGCAGTCCTCTTGAACAGTACATCACATTTTGATATATGTCCCATAAGGCTTTACTAATAATCATGGTGTCTCACAGAATTGACGTGATTCCCCGTTTTATATTCGCGAGTCCTCGGTTAGGGTACGTTGGGAGCGCTCGAGAGGACAGTATCTGGATTTTGTTTATTCTCTGAAAGCATTTTAGGGTTTCATTCGTGTTTTGTTGGTAAATTGAATATGAGCCTTAGTTCTATACGATGATTATTTCAAAGTTAGAACTATTTTAGTATATTTAAGTACATTAAAGTATATACTGTATATTATTTAGTATATTTAGTATATTAAAGAGGAAAAATTGACTGTCTCTGATAATTCCTTAAGCGAAGGTTTTATTTAACATAATATCTTGGACGATACTGATGATGGTAAAGATGTCCTGTTTTTAGGTTGTCTAACCAAACTGATGATAAGAAGTCATAAAGGCGCTAAAAGACACATGCATTTTCAAGTAAATACAAAAGTTACAATGTTTTGAACATTGTATACAGCGCCTTGAGAAAGGATATCGGTTACATCCGAATTTTATTTGTAATACACTTATCATGAATTGGGTCTTTTCTTCACCTTCATTCAAGCACTGCGGCTTTGTAGTAAGTTCCTCCAGTGTAATAATATCAAAGCTCGAGCCCGAATATTTTCACAAATATTATCAAAGAATAAAATAAATGCATAATTTAATAAATATTTTATTTATTAATTTACAGTTCGAGGATTCAATATGAATCAAATTGTTTCTTAGTCCACTTCCTCGATGGTTGGTCCAGGTCGTGAGCCTCTGGTGGTGTTGGGTCCCGCAGATTCCTGGCCCGCCATCCCTGGTCCATAAATCTTGGCTGCCAAGGGTCGCCACACATCCTCCACCTTCTTGAGATGGTACTCATACTCGTCCTTCTCTGCCAGCTGGTTATCGTCTACCCACTTGAGGGTTTCGTCCACCTGGTTGGTGATGCGCTGCCGCTCCTCTTCAGACAGTTTGTTGGAGACGCCCTCCTCCCTAAGGCTGCTCTTCAAACTCAAGCACAGTGACTCCAGACGATTCTTACTTTCAATTCTCTCTCTCTGGCGAGTGTCCTCCTCAGAATATTTCTCTGCGTCATGTACCATTCTGTCAATTTCTTCCTTGCTCAGACGACCCTTGTCGTTGGTGATGGTGATTTTGTTCACTTTACCTGTCGACTTGTCCACTGCAGACACATTCAGGATCCCATTGGCGTCAATGTCAAAGGTGACTTCAATTTGGGGAACGCCCCGAGGTGCCGGAGGGATACCATTCAGGTCAAACTTGCCCAGTAGATTGTTGTCTTTGGTCATAGTGCGTTCACCCTCGAATACCTGGATAGTGACCGCTGGTTGGTTATCTGAATATGTGGAGAAGATCTGTGAATGTTTCGTGGGAATGGTGGTGTTGCGTTTAATTAGAGAAGTCATGACTCCTCCAGCTGTCTCAATGCCCAAGGACAGAGGTGCCACATCAAGGAGGAGCAGGTCCTTAACTCCCTCCGACTGGTCACCATGAAGGATGGCAGCCTGAACAGCCGCACCGTAGGCCACCGCCTCGTCAGGGTTGATGGATTTATTGAGGTCTTTGCCATTGAAGAAGTCTTGCAGCAACTTCTGCACTTTGGGGATGCGGGTAGATCCGCCCACCAGCACAATGTCGTGAATGCTGCTCTTATCAAGCTTGGCGTCCCGTAACGCCTTCTCCACCGGCACCAGAGTGCCACGGAAAAGGTCCGAACACAGTTCCTCGAACCTGGCTCGAGTGATGGACGTGTAAAAGTCGATACCATCAAACAGCGAGTCGATCTCTACAGTCGCCTGAGATGAAGAGGAGAGTGTGCGCTTGGCTCTTTCACATGCCGTCCTCAGACGTCGCAAAGCACGCTTGTTGCCACTGATGTCTTTCTTGTACTTCCTCTGAAACTCTTGCACAAAGTGATTTACCATCCGGTTGTCAAAATCTTCTCCGCCTAGATGTGTGTCTCCCGCCGTTGATTTGACCTCAAATATGCCCTCATCGATGCTCAAGATGGACACGTCAAAGGTTCCGCCTCCAAGATCAAAGATGAGCACATTACGTTCCCTGCAATTTCCGGTGCCTACCTTTTTGTCGAGACCGTAGGCGATGGCTGCTGCAGTTGGCTCGTTGATGATGCGCAGAACATTGAGTCCAGCGATGGCACCAGCGTCCTTGGTGGCCTGGCGCTGAGAGTCATTGAAGTAGGCAGGTACTGTGATGACGGCGTCAATCACTTTCTTGCCCAGGAACGCCTCTGCTGTCTCCTTCATCTTGGTCAGAACCATAGACGAGATCTCTTCCGGGTTGAAAGTCTTGCTTTCTCCCTTGAAGCTGACGCGTATCTTGGGTTTGCCATTGTCGCTGACCACATCGAATGGCCAATGTTTCTTGTCAGTCTGCACTGTAGGGTCGTCATACTTACGACCAATCAGTCGTTTAGCATCAAAGATTGTGTTGTTAGGGTTGAGAGCCGCCTGATTCTTGGCTGCGTCACCAATGAGTCGTTCTGTGTCAGTGAAGGCGACGTAAGAGGGCGTGGTCCTGTTGCCCTGGTCGTTAGCAATGATCTCCACCTTGCCCAGCTGGAACACGCCCACACAAGAGTAGGTCGTGCCCAGGTCAATACCGATAGCTGGAGAACAGTTCCTGAATGGTACAATTACCCCAATCTTGCCACTATTGAAAGTATCTTGCAAATATTAATATAGTTATACATATGTATAATTCAGTTTAACTAATTATAGTAATCTTATAATACAATTTTACTTAGGCTATTACCTACACGAATATTATAAATTTCACAGACTATCAATATTATAAGTTATAATTATAAACTTATACGTTCTAATTTCTACGATGTCTACAACCATATTATTAGCTGGAAGTCTTGCTGCAACTGTTGTATCAAGTAAATTTAAAAGAGTATTAACTTTAGCACATGTGGCTAAAAACATAAATATACATACTTAAAATAGGATATAATTAAATTAAAATATTCATATTAGACTTGGCTTGAAGTACATGGCAAGGTTTGAGGTTATATATCGCATTATCATATTATTATGAATTTTAGTTGTAAATTGTTTAACTTTGGAGAGAGTAGAGTGTGTATTCACCTACAGATGTGCTTGTGGGGTTGAGAGTTAGCTCCCAATACCCTCCATTCCTTCATAATTAGTTCATTGAAGTGAATTTTACCCTTATTTACATTTACATAAATACAAGAATTTCATTTACATATATACAAGAAGGTACAATGGTTTCAGAAGGCACACATGCTGGTAATTAAGTGATATTTATGCAAAGCCACTGTAGCGCGCATAACGTTTCAGACAAGTTCTTAATAAGCTAACAAATGTAGTGATAGTTACGTTTTAACAAAATTTGAATTCACACAGCTACATCAGCATAACGTGAAACAAATGTATTGATGACGTTGTATTTCTACTTTGAATTGTTGTGCATTTTGATATATTGGGCGAGTTAGTGGCACAAGGTGGAATATTTTGAAGATTAAATTAGTTACTGTATTTTTACTTTTGAATAAAGTATTGGTTGGACAATTTTTAAATTCGTTAGGCAGTGAGATTGTCCTGAAATACTACGCGTGTTAGTGCCTCTGCTGGATCATAATCAATATTGTTACAAACCTTACCTTTACAGTTGGTGTAGTCGGGGAGTTAATTGTAAGATTGACAAGTCTCCGTTACTTCTCCTCGCCAATGGACACGTGTGTTGAGTTGAGAGGTTCTTGACACTGGAATGTGGTGACACTTGTGTCTTCCCTTCGCTAGTTTGTGGTACTTGTGTTAGCTTGGGTCTGGCTGGTGGCGGGCCGCGCCGCCCGTTATATGAGGCCGCCCAAGTTCCCGAAGCCTCCAGAATATTCCTACCGTTCTCCTTGGCTTCCTGCTCTTGCAACTCAACACAGAAAACGTTCATTATAGCGCCACTCAGACAAACTATTATAAAAGAGTACATTCGTTACCTGTCAGTGAAAAAACCGTGTTAGTGGTATATTCTCATTCTACATAGGCTACCATATACAGTAAAGTACCGCTGACAGATGAGCTTAGAGTGTACAATAAACTACCGTTCACAATAAGAGTTCTGGGTGCACCATAAACTAGCCGCCACTGGCCCCAGCCATCAATACCAGGTGGAAAGTGCTAGATTAAGCAAGATCTTTCTCCTTAGACCAACAAGGTTGTGTTGTTGATACAATTAGCCTAAGCTAATTGTATTAGCTTAGGCTAATTGTATCATCAATTAGCCTAAGCTAATTGTATCAACAATTAGACTAAGCTAATTGTATTTTTTGGAATGTATTTTATTATCTCCATAAACTTGAACTTGCACTATCCCTCCCCATGATGCAACCCCACAACAAGGGTACCTATTTACTGCTAGGTGAACAGAGGCATCAGGTGATGGGACACGCGTATTGAGAGATACACGACACGTGAACACACACTGACACATTAATATTATACACATACAATGGGTGGAACACGAACAAGGGGACACAAGTGGAAACTTAGTACCCAAAAGAACCACAGAGACATTAGAAAAAATTTGTTCAGTGTCAGAGTAGTTAACAAACTGAGTGCATTGATGCAGTGATGTGGTGGAAGCCGACTCCATATACAGTTTCAAATGTAGATATGATAGAGGCAGGTAGGCTCAGGAACCTGCTGTACACCAGTTGACTAACAGTTGAGAGGCGGGACCAGAGCCAGAGCTCAACCCCTGCAAGCACAACTAAGTGAGTACAATATACACATGAATTATACAAGGTACAAAATGTGGAGAATACACAAATTGCAAACGTGTATCCTCCACATGAACTACTACCCTTATTTTTGTGACAGAATAATAATTCATTATGTCGGGGGACAGGCAGCCAGTGTGTTGTCATACACATAAGGCTTATATATATATATATATATATATATATATATATATATATATATATATATATATATATATATATATATATATATATATATATATTCATATATATATATATATATATATATATATATATATATATATATATATATATATATATATATATATATATATATATATATGTATGTACCTAACTAAACCGCTAACGGTATATATATATATATGACCGAACCTAAACCAACCCTACCTAACCTAACCTAACCTAACCTAATCTTAACCTGACCCAAACTAACATAACTAAGTCAATAATTTATGTTCTTAATATAATATAATATTATTGTTTTAAGTAAACCAATTTGAAAAAAATAGTGCAAATAAACAAATAAAGAAAATCACTCGGCCTATTAGACAAATCGGGCCTTGCGTAGGATATATATATATATATATATGTCGTACCTAATAGCCAGAACGCACTTCTCAGCCTACTATTCAAGGCCCGATTTGCCTAATAAGCCAAGTTTTCATGAATTAATGTTTTTTCGTCTACCTAACCTACCTAACCTAACCTAACCTAGCTTTTTTTGGCTACCTAACCTAACCTTACCTATAAATATAGGTTAGGTTAGGTTAGGTAGGGTTGGTTAGGTTCGGTCATATATCTACGTTAATTTTAACTCCAATAAAAAAAATTGACCTCATACATAGAGAAAAGGGTTGCTTTATCATTTCATAAGAAAAAAATTATAGTAAATATATTAATTCAGGAAAACTTGGCTTATTAGGCAAATCGGGTCTTGAATAGTAGGCTGAGAAGTGAGTTCTGGCTACTAGGTACGACATATATATATATATATATATATATATATATATATATATATATATATATATATATATATATATATATATATATATATATATATATATATATATATATATATATATATATATATATATATATATATATATATATATATATATATATATATATATATATAATATTATATTATATAACACACCGGAAACAAATACCTATTTGATATTCCAAGAGTACGCCTTAACCAAACTAGAAATGCTCTACAAATCAAGGGACCCAGAATGTGGAATGACCTTCCCAATCATGTCAAAGGCTGTACCTCTCTCAACCAGTTGAAGAGTAAAACTAAGTACTACCTAATTAACTCCCTGTAACCTCCCTTAATCACCCTAAATGTCAACCCATGTCTTGTTATTTTCAAACAACACTGTTGACCAAGTTGTATAATTGCTGATTTCTGCCAACCCCCCCTCCAGCCTTTTTTCTTTTTCTGCTCAATTTATATTTTTCTCTCAATTAGTATTAGGCTTTAGTCAAAGTGTTGGTTTTTCACCCCACAGATGTGCCTCTGTAACCCTTTCCACTACCGCCGACAAGATAGGCATGGGGTGCATAATAAATATGACCCCACTGTACTACTGGAACCCCCCTTACATATTCGCATACGAATCATTATTGACACGTGATCACTTCTGGAGAGTATAAATTGTTAGTACCAAAGCGAGTGGCTTCCAGGGCTTCCAGAAGCTTCTAGGATGGACTGTTAGCCTTGCCCGGCCTCCTGGCTATGACGTCATCCACAACCTTCTGCACGTCGACCTGCGAGATGGCAACACTCCCACACGCGCGTACGAATATGCGCAAATTAGTATTCGAATATATGTAGATATTCACTCACAAAACTACACTGCTATAAATAAGTTTGTAAATGTATTAGCAGCAATATATTAAAGTATAAGTAAATTAAAAAAAAAAATGCTGGATTAACTGGTGACATAACTACACTACCTATGTGCATATATACTAGTGTGTGCATATTCGTATATAAGCGTGGAAGTGTTGCCATCTTGCAGGTCAACGTGCGTCCTAATAATATCCAATAAATATCAAGTATACCCCACATTAAATATTTAACTGTAAATAAGATGTGCAAATTTAGCTTACAAGAACACAAATAGCCAATACAACCTTGTTGGTCTCAGGAGAAAGATCTGGCTTAATCTAGCACTTTCCACCTGGTATTGATGGCTGGGGCCAGTGGCGGCTAGTTTATTGTGCACCCAGAACTCTTATTGTGAGCGGTAGTTTATTGTACACCTCATGCTCATCTGTCAGCGGTACTTTACTGTATATGGTAGCCTATGTAGAATGAGAATATAACACTAACACAGATTTTATATTGACAGATAAGGAATGTACTCTTTTATAATAGTTTGTCCGCGGGGCGCTAGAATGAACGTTTTCTGTGTTGAGTTGCATGAGCAGGAAGCCAAGGAGAACGGTAGGAATATTCTGGACGCTTCGGGAACTTGGGCGGCCTCATATAACGGGCGGCGCGGCCCGCCACCAGCCAGACCCAAGCTAACACAAGTACCACAAACTAGCGAAGGGAAGACACAAGTGTCACCACATTCTAGTGTCAAGCACCTCTCAACACACGTGTCCATTGGCGAGGAGAAGTAACGGAGACTTGTCAATCTTACAATTAACTCTCCGACTACACCAACTGTAAAGGTAAGGTTTGTAACAATATTGATTATGATCCAGCAGAGGTACTAACACGTATAGTATTTCAAGAAAATCTCACTGCCTAACGAATAAAAAAAATTTCCAACCTATATTTTATTCAAAACTAGAACAATGAAGTAACTAATTTCATCTTCATAATATCTCACCTTGTGTCACTAACTTGACCTATTTATTATAATACGTTATAATACACACACAAAATTGTGGGGTTCAGTCCCTGAGCCCATTATGTGCCTCTGTAACCCTTTCCACTACCGCCCATAAGATGGGTATGGGGTGCATAATAAATAATCTAAACTAAGAAATGTGACGTCGTTAATAGAATTGTTTATCACGTTATGCTGATGTAGCTGTGTGAATTGAAATTTTGTTAAAAATGTAGCTTACAACTACATTTGTTAGCTTAAGGACCTGTCTCAAACGTTACGTGAGCTACAGTGGCTTTGCTTAAATGTTTCACTTAATTAATTACCAACATGTGTGCCTTCTCAAACCATTCTACCTATTTTATTTTTTATTTATATATATACAAGAAGTTACATTGGGATTGTGAGGATACATAGTATAGTAATTGCAATCTTGTAAAGCCACTAGTACGCTTGTATATATGTAAATGAATTGAGTTAAATAAGAGTGAAAGTCATTACAATGAACTAATTGTGAAGGAAAGGAGGGACTTGGGAGCCGACTCTTGACCCCACAAACACATCAGTAGGTGAATACACACACTACTCTCTCACAAGTTAAACAATTTACAACTAAAATTCATAATATCATAATCTGATATATAACCTAAATCTTTGCCATGTATCTTAAGCCAAGCCTAATATGAACATTTTAATTAGATTCATACTTAAAATTAATTATAATTAACGTTCTTAGCCACATGTGCTAAAGATGAATACTATTTTAAATTTGCTTGATACAAAAGTTCTTGCAAGTCTTCCAGCTAATAATATGGTTGCATTTAGACATCATAAAAATTAGAATGCATGTGGTTATAATTAAAACTTGTATTATTGATTTAGTGTGTATTTTATAATATTGGTGTAAATAATAATAAAAGTAAAATTGTATTGCAAGATTACTATAATTAAACTTAGTTATACATTGGTATATCAATAATAATATTTACAAGAGACTTTCAAAAGTGAGAAGATTGGGGAAATTGCACTATTCAGGTTCTGTTTATAGTTTTGTTTTGTATATTACTTTATGCAGTGGTATACATGTCATTTAAATTGACTATAACTTGCAGTCGTTTAGTTCATTTACACCCCATACCCATCTTATGGGCGGTAGTGGAAAGGGTTACAGAGGCACATAATGGGCTTAGGGACTGAACCCCACAATTCATTTAGCTAAGCAAGTTACAATCTTGATAAGCTAGTTACAAAATTCAGTATAAGTCGTCATATCAACAATAGGTTCGAGATCGACCTCAAGTACAGGTTCTAAATTAAGCACCGCCCCCCCCATCCAGTGGGCAGCAGTGGCTAGGTTACAATAACTGTTACTACCTACAGTTAGCAAACTGGGGATATTTGGATAAAATTTCTGGTAGCAGATCATTTTGAATGAAATATTTACACATCGCTGGAACATTGGTTATAGAATTGTCTCTAAATTCACGTATCTTTTCGCACTCCATCACATAGTGACGGAGGGTGTGCGGATAATTTTGTTGACACAGTTTACATTTGGTCAGGTCTACATCAGCAGATAATGAGAATTCCCAGAGATACTTGTAACAGAGTCTAAGCCGAGCAGTAGTAACATCTAGAAGTCTGCTGATTTTATTGGATGATCCATAGATGTGTGGCTCCTCTTGCATGATAGTATGATGATAGATGGAATTACTGGTGTCAATTTCACTTCGTCTCAGATCTACAAGATCTCCAGTAGTTTCTCTTAAATTGACAAACTGTCTTACAGGATTTGGGTGCACTTGGAACTGTTCAGCAATATAGAATTAAAAAAAATTGTTTATTCAGGTAAAAGTACATACATAGAAGATGAGTTACAAACATAATGTTGGATTTACAGATAGAGCTAGTACATACAATATCTAATGCCACTAATACGCACAGCATTTCGGGCAATTTATTAACATTCCTTTTAAAAATTGAGTATACCCTTCATGAATGTGCTAAAGCGGGTAACTAATTAACAGATTATAAAATTGCCCTAAATGTGAATCGCCGTCTTGTGTTTATATTAATTCTTTATATATCTTATTACATGATGAATCTTACATAACCGTTCAAGGAATTCAGCACACCTGGTGTTTATATTAATTAGAGCTATGTAATACTAACATAATCTTCAAAAGCATGTATTGTATATAATATTGTTTTTTTAATCTTCAGAAAACCTGGTGAATACAATGGCGGCTCCAGTAATTGGTATCGACCTGGGCACGACGTACTCGTGCGTGGGCGTGTTCCAGCAGGGCAAGGTGGAGATCATCGCCAACGACCAGGGCAACAGGACCACGCCCTCCTACGTCGCCTTCACCGACACAGAACGACTCATTGGTGATGCAGCCAAGAACCAGACGGCCCTCAACCCCAGCAACACAATCTTTGATGCCAAACGACTCATCGGTCGTAAGTTCAATGACCCAACCGTGCAGAACGACAAGAAACATTGGCCTTTTGACGTGGTCGACAGCAATGGCAAACCCAAGTTACAGGTTGAGTACAAGGGAGAGAGAAAGACTTTCAACCCCGAAGAGATCTCGTCCATGGTGTTGACCAAGATGAAGGAGACGGCAGAAGCGTATCTGGGCCAGAAAGTGAAGGACGCCGTCATCACAGTTCCCGCCTACTTCAACGACTCTCAGCGTCAGGCCACCAAAGACGCAGGTGTCATCGCCGGACTGAACGTTCTGCGCATCATCAACGAGCCCACCGCAGCAGCCATCGCCTACGGCCTCGACAAGAAGATGGCTACCGGTAACTCCAGTGAACGTAATGTACTCATCTTTGACCTAGGTGGTGGAACCTTCGATGTATCCATCTTGAGCATCGACGATGGTATATTTGAGGTAAAGTCCACGGCAGGAGACACTCATCTTGGCGGAGAAGATTTTGACAACCGTATGGTGAGCCACTTCATGCAAGAGTTCCAGAGGAAGTATAAGAAGGACATGAGTGGCAACAAACGTTCTATGAGACGTCTGAGGACAGCCTGTGAGCGAGCCAAACGAACATTGTCATCTTCCACTCAAGCTAATGTTGAGATTGACTCGCTGTTTGAGGGCATTGACTTTTACTCGTCCATCACTCGAGCAAGGTTCGAGGAATTGTGCTCCGACCTGTTCAGGAACACTATGCTTCCCGTGGAGAAGGCTCTGAGAGACGCCAAGATCGACAAAAGTAAAATCGATGATATTGTGCTTGTGGGCGGCTCCACACGCATCCCAAAAGTGCAGAAGTTGCTGCAAGACTTCTTCAACGGCAAGGACCTCAATAGGTCCATCAACCCCGACGAGGCGGTGGCTTATGGTGCCGCTGTTCAGGGCGCCATCCTTCGAGGTGACCAGACTGACGGCGTCAAGGATCTGCTTTTGCTGGATGTGGCACCTTTATCCTTGGGTATTGAGACAGCCGGAGGCGTCATGACGGCCCTTATCAAACGAAACACTACCATCCCCACCAAGCAGACCCAGATCTTTACCACGTACGCTGACAACCAGCCGGGTGTCCTTATCCAAGTGTACGAGGGAGAACGAGCCATGACCAAGGACAACAGTCTGCTGGGCAAGTTTGAACTCTCAGGGATTCCTCCTGCCCCAAGAGGAGTTCCCCAGATAGAGGTCACATTTGACATTGACGCTAACGGTATCCTTAATGTGTCGGCCGAGGACAAGTCGACAGGCAAACAGAACAAAATCACTATCACTAATGATAAAGGTCGCCTCAGTAAGGAAGAAATTGAGAGAATGGTACAGGAAGCAGAAAAATATTCGGAGGAGGACGGTCGCCAGCGAGAGAGAATCGAGAGCAAGAACAATCTGGAGTCAATGTGTCTTAACCTGAAGAAGAGCCTTACTGAGGAGGCCGTCTCCAGCAAATTGACGGAGGAAGAAAGGAAAACTGTTACGACCCAAGTGGAGGAGACACTCACGTGGCTCGACAACAACCAGCTGGCGGAGAAGGAAGAGTTTGAGAACCAACTCAAGAAACTGGAGGACCACTGGAAGCCCCTGGTGGCCAAGATTTATGGTCAGGGTGGTCGAGGACCAGCAGGGTGTGGGCCAGCCACCAACACCACCTCCAGTAGACCTGGACCAACTATTGAGGAGGTCGACTAAGCTTAAACATTCCTTGTAATAATATTTAATTATTTTACTACATAATTTCTCATTCTTCTCATCATAAATTCCACATCAATTTCATATCCATATTTCATGGTAGCTGCTGTTGCCTTTATTTTATTTTTATATAACCGTGTAGTGAAATCAATTTGATTCATATTGAATCCTCGAACTGTAAATTATTAAATAAAATATTTATAAAATTATTCATTTTATTTTATTCTTTAATAATGTTTGTGAAAATAAGACAAACAAAGCAATGCTTGAAATAGACAGCTGACATAACATAACTCGACCTTTGATATTATTACACTGGAGAAACTTACTACAATGCCGCAGAGCCTTATTTGAAGGTTAAGAAAAGATCAAATTCATGTTTAAGTGTATTAAAAAAAATTCGGATGTAATCTACATCCTTTCTCAAGGTGCTGTATACAATGTTTCGAACATTATTTACAATGTAATTTTTGTAATTAAAGTACGTTTATTGAGACAAGAAAATACATCTCAAAGGTATAAAGTAGTTCAGGCTATTTTACCCCCCTCAAGATTTCAGGTCCCTCAAGGGGCGCACAAATTCAGTGAGTATAAAAATCACAAATCACTGTACAAGAATCACATTTAACATTGCAGGTTAATATAGTAAATACAGCATATAAGTGTTAACTCGTGTGGCAAAATGCTTGTATCTTATAAGTATTTTTTTCTATCATACCTTTATCACACATCCAAACAATCTGATGTGGTACATTTATTTCCTTATTTCTATAGTTATCAATAAGTTGACACTCTAATACATAATGATCTAAGGTGTGGGCGTGCGGCATACTACATAATTTACACTCCTTATCTTTTTCACTGACATCAACACCGTATTGCCAGATATATTTGTAGCCTAATCTTAATCTCCTGTAAATTGAATTCTTCGGAGTAGACTTTCCTCTAACATAAGTGAAGGACGAATTTGTATTTATTAATGTATAATTCGTAAGTGTGTTACTACTGTCCACCATTGCCATTTTCTTAACTTTTTCTTCATCCTCTTGGATCATCTTGATTCTTGTCTTTATTTGTTACAAAGTTGGCCTCCTATCTCGTACATACTGTTTTTTTGCAGGAGAAATATTTACTACATCTCCGTTGCAATCCTCCTTTGTTTTTATTAATACATTACGTACATCTGCATTCAAATTCAAATGTTTATTCAGGTAAAGTACATACACACAAGGTGTGATACAAACATTGATGGATTTATAGATAGAGCTAGTATATACAATGTCTAAAGCCACTATTACGCAATGCGTTTCGGGCATTTGTGCAGCTACCCCTAGACTATATGAAAGGGAGTACAGTGTGTCAAAAAGCTAGCTACGTGATGCTAAAAAAATCCCCATCACGCAGGATGGTTAGTCATACAGAGACATGTGATCAGTAGTCTGCACTAACAGACTCTGGGTTCGTTATGAGGATATCATCAACACAAGAGTGAATAAGGTAGCAGTGGTAATAAAAGTCCCCATCTCGCAGGATGGTTAGTCATACAGGGCCATATGTTCAGTAGCCTGCACTGGTAAATTTTGGGTGCACTGTGAGAATATCTTCAAGAATACGAGAGTGAATAAAGTAATTGCAAAGCTCCAGGTACCTCATGCCAACTGGTCTGAAAGGTCTAATAACTGGGCATTCGGTAATGTAGTGCGGGTGATCATGCCGCAGCTCCTGTTCACAGAGTTTGCACCTGGAGTGCTCAGGATTGGGAGATCCGTCACCTGCAGCCACCTGCCACAGGTAACGGTAACCCAACATGATCCTTGCAACCACTGTGTCGCACAGTCTAGTGGACGTTTTATGCTGCCCATAGATATGGGTTTCAGATCTGAATAAATCATAGCTTTTTATACTAGTGCTTTCAGGTCTTTGGGAGTCAGTAATTTCTTTCCTATCAGACCTGAGTGTTTGAATCAATATAGTTTTGACAGTAGTGATGGGGATACCTAGATCTAATTCAACTTCATCTTTGTTGCACGCTAATTTAGCTGTAATGTCTGTCTCATTATGATGGGTTATATTTATGTGTGATCTTGTGTGGAGGTCAGCCAGTTGTTTAACCTGACACTGACAGTCTTTGTGCAAATATTATTTCTATAAAACCTACATGCTGCTGCAGTCCGTCCAGTAGAAGATTGGACTGAGCCGTCGGTGTAGACACAGTGCTCGTGAGATCTTAAATTCTCGATGGAGGAGGCAATTGTTTCGAGTGTGACAGCTTTGAGAAGAGCAAGATTCTCATTATCTTTCTTGGTGACGGGTGTGTATGATACTTGAATGGTGGGGTACAGATAAAGAGGAATATCAGAGACAGGTAGATTGCACTTAAAAGGAATGTTGAGTTTAATGAGATTGTAGGCATCTTTTCTCAGCCATTTATCATTAAAGAAATGAGTTGGTATGTCGGCACCAGTCAATAGGGTGTTAACAGTATTAAATAATTTGTCTCTGAACAATGCAGGAGATGTAGGGTCTCTCATGACTTTAAGGCAAAAGGTCGTGTTGACTTGCATGATTCTTTCTAGTATGGTTGGAAGCTTCAGTTCATCCCTCATGTTGATGATTCTTGTGCATCTTGGAGCACCAAGAATTATTCTCATGACTTCATTCTGTACTACTTCAAGTTTGTCCAACACAGGGGAGGGGAAATACAATCCTCCCATGGTGGTGTGAATTGTCTCTTAAGCAAAGCAATACATTCTGGAATAACATTAGAACATAAGGTATTCATTTATGCTCTCTTATTATACTTTAACATACATTTTGAATTACTTCCTACCTATTGAACTGAGAGGATTAATTCATTACCTCCCCCAACTCTCAGTAATCTAATGTCAGAGGCTACATTTATTTCCGAAATTCTATTCCCAATACTCATCAGATTTAATTCCATCCTCATTATTTCAATCATAGCATTTCTTGGCCATCCTAAGATTCTTCTCATGGCTTCATTTTGTACCTTCTCCAACTTGCCCATCCTACCTTTACCACAACAAGAAATGATAGGTGCAGCGTAATCAATAAAGGATCTTACAGTACTTAATATATCATTGGTAGCACAGGGACTCCCACTCCCTTTCCACGGGCTTTCAGAGGTTGTAATCTCTTCCGTCATTGACCCAACAGCCTAGCTGTTCATTTCAGCTTCCAAACTCTCATAGGGTATCCAACATATGTACCTAAATATTTATATATTTTAACTCTATCTATTTTTACCACTTATATTCAATATAATAGGTCTTCGACTTCTACATTTAAACTTAGTTATTTATGTCTTCATTATCATCCAGTCCCATATGGTGACCAGGTTTCCGAAATTATCCAGCACCGTTTGACCCATTTAAATATCTTTGCCCTGAAACAAAATATCATCGGCATATATGATCAGAGTTACCCCATTTGAGTATATCTTAGATGCTATCCTATTCATTAGTATATTAAAGTTTCCGTGGTGTAGTGGTGTAGACACTCGCCTGGCGTTTCGCGAGCGCTTTGTCCTAGGTTCGTATCCTGGCCGGGGAGGATTTACTGGTCGCAAATACTTAACTGTAACCTCTGTTTAACTCAAAATGGGTGCCTGGTTGTTAAACGATTTTTCGCGGGGTATTCCAGGCCTATTCCAGGCCTATAAATATATATATATATATATATATATATATATATATATATATATATATATATATATATATATATATATATATATATATATATATATATAAGGCGTATAAATAGCCTAAGCTACTCTATCCATTTGAGATGTATTTCTTTCTTGTCTCAATAAACATAATTGAACTTGAACGTATTCCAAGGAACATTTAAGGACAGGGTGGGGACTCAACACTCCTCCCTGAGGTGTACCGAGTTCCCAAGATCTCACACCTGACATACAACCTTGGTACCACACCTGAGCCTTCCTTTCGTAAAGATAATCCCCTATCCAGCGCAATAATCTCCCTTTAACACCAAGACCAGCTAGTTCATATAAGATAACCTTTTTGTTGACTTTATCAAAGGTTCTTTATAAATCAATAAAAATTTCTGTAGTAATCATTATCATTAGCTAGATATTTAATAATACAGTCAGAGGTACTTTTGCCTCTGAGGAACCATAGCAAATTACTAGACAACTAATCACCTATCAGATATAAAATTCTATTTTAAATTATCGGCAACCCGTCTTCTTACAAATTAACTCGTTTTTCGCCCGTATGCTCACTAACGCTAAACATCGCCGTACTAGAACATGAAAGCGGCTCGCGAAAGTGATGTACTGTCCCGTTTTCTGTTTTGTGTCCTTCAAGTTCAAGTATGTTTATTGAGACAAGAAAAAATACATCTCAAAGGGATAGAGAAGCTTAGGCAACTAAGCCTAAGCTTCTCTAAGAAGCTTAGGCTACTCTGGCTTAATCTATTAGATTTAGAGAGGATATTTTAAATTAACGAATTTCACGACGTCTTGAAACCTTAGGATAACTCCCTGCTCTCCTAACCCACCAGAGGACCCAAAACTTGCTGCTTTGGGTCCATTTCATTTGGAAAATTAATTTTCATTATGTTGAAAATTCCAATACGGTGATTTTTGGCTGTAACGCATACGAGCGAAAAGCGACGTAATTTGTAAGAGCACAGGCTGCTCCATCATTTTACAAAAACATGTGGTTAAGGACACAGGTAAGGGGAGGGGTTAAAAACACAAGAGCAAGGTGAGACATGATCACTACCTACAAAATTCCCAGAGGAATTGACAGGGAAGATAAAGATAAACTGTTTAACACGGGTAGTACGCGAACAAGGGAACACAGGTGGAAACTGAGTACCCAGATGAGTCACAGAAACTTTAGAAAGAACTTTTTCAGAGTCAGAATAGTTAACAGATGAAATGCATTATACAGTGATGTGGTGGAGGCTCACTCCATACACAGTTTCAAATATAGATATGGTAGAACTCAGTAGGCTTAGGAATCTGTACGCCAGTTGATTGACAGTTGAGAGGCGGGACCAAAGAGCCAGAGTTCACAATTAAGTGAGTTCAGGTCTGTACTCTCCATATGCAGGCGATGAGTCACAATAACGTGGCTAAAGTATGTTGACCAGACCACACACTAGAAAGTAAAGGGACGACGACGTTTCGGTCCGTCCTACTCCATTCTCAAGTCGA